CTAACACCGCTACAAAGACGGCGTTGGCTGAGCGGCCGCCCGCCGCTGAACCGAGCCCGAGTTGCTTGAGTGATACTTAAAAAATTAAGTTACCGCCTCTGCCGCGGAAAGTTGCGGCTCCGCGGAAGAGGATTACGCGCCAAGGCGGCGGCGGCGGCGGCGGCGAGGGCGGAGCCGCAGCGGAGGAGAGGTGGCGGGGTGGAGCGGGGACGAGGCAGGCCGTGGCTGACCCCACTTTTAATTAAGAGCGCCGCTTCCCGCTCTCATCCTAACGAGCCACCGGCTTACGTTTTCGACGCTTACTTGCTTGCAAGTCTCGCTGTTCCGCCTCATACTATTATATCCCAGTCTCATTTAAAAGACTTCTCAGTAAGTATTAGCCTCACTGTCTAATAAAGGAAACACCTGTTTCACCTCCTGTAGAAGCTGCTACCACTCCTGAATGAGTGATCGATTCGAGTGATGCCGATTCGCAATGCACCACTTTGGATTTTAATAAAATAATCCACAAATGACCCACTATTTATTACAGACAGCAATACCTATGATAAATAAACGAAGTTTATGAACACTTTTACACGATCATATTGTATTTATTAACATACATATATAATAAATTAAAACAGCAATGATATAATTCAAGCTACTTGTTCATTAGTAAGATCTTGCAAAACGACACTGCGTTTGGAGGCACAAGTTCCCCTTCATCGGGTGCATAGTTTTACAATCACAGCTCGGGAAGAGAACTGTCTTTACCCTATATATCTTAGATATCGCTGTCTATAAAAAGTAATGGGTCATTATTGAAATATTTTATTTAAAACAGAATAGGAAAACGGTGCATGAATACTGCACCATTTTGGACTAGTTCGTCACTTTCTTACAAGACGAGACCTACATTATAACAGAGGCTACGTTTAAAGAATGTCTAGAACATTATTGAATACTTAACAAAACTTAACAGGCAACGGAAGACGAAAGACGAAAACGGAACACGGAAGACGAAAATGCAGAAATAAAGTACATAGAAAAAATCGTTGTTTATTTAGGATAAATTGGCTAGCCATCTAGAAAACCACTTCCTTTATTTCTTCGTTTCCTTCAGAGCACTCAGAACTGATCTCTTGATCCAGCCGTCTTTTCGGCCTTAGTTTTCCACCATGGTTGGGAGGGTATGTATCCATTTTCATTACACATTGTATAGCCATTTACACCCGTACTTCTGTATTATTTCATTTTACCACGAGAAAAATATTATTTAAAAGCGCTTCATTTAACTATTTCAGCACAATAATAATATCAAACTGAGGTTAATAAATGCCCAGCTTCGTATTGCAAAGGGATAACTTTTTTCTAATAATTCTTTTAAATTAAATGTTCTAAACTTCATGTAATATACAATAATAAAGAACAACAACAACAACAACGTCAATTTCTGGCGAGGCCCAAGCCACTTAAATATGGCTAGACTATGGCCTAATCACTTAAATATCTTAACATTTACGTAATTACAATCGAGAAGTTCGGGCATCACACCATTTCCATAGGCGCGTTTTGGTCAGGAGTATTTTTCAACAAACGGAAAGCGACAAAATTGCTGTCAACCGCAGCGACAATTTCGCGGGAAGTAAAGTGTGCAAGCCTGGCCTACAGTCGTTGCATTCTACTACAGTCCGACGTCAAGGCATTTCAGCGACAGCGACATCACAAGGGCGGTGAAATCATTGCAACAGCAACAAAACCGCGCCGGTCTGAAGGAGCCAAACAACCCTCGGTTTAAGCAAGGCTAGTTGACTAGCATCGCCGCATTGCAACTACAGACGACCCGGCGACTACCAAGAGTAGCACTCTCGCACAATGCACAAACTCTATTACATTTTGTGCCGCCGCAATAGCTTCAACACATACACCAAATTGTGTTCTGAATGTTATGACAATTTAGTTTGATTTTCATCAACGTAATAAGTAAACTTCATACGATGACAAGTGTGTTTACTTTGCGTTTGCCTGCAATTTCCCAATTACACGCCACATTTGGTTTACACGTCCCATTTAAAGTTTAAATACAATCTGGCAGGGAACAGATAATTGAGTAAACATGGCATAACAATGGATAAAATGATTTTAAAACACTGGCCTCTCTTAATTAACAAAATATAAATTGATTACAAATAAAGGAGTGAAAACAATTTACAGTCCAGAAAATTAAATTAAAGAATTCCTATTCTGAAGGCTTCTTATTATGATTATGAATAAAAATCTTGCATACAAGGATGCATTCATAAATACATACTTTACACATTTACCACACTAAATCACATAAATAACATGACAAATAAAATGCGTACACTCACTATACGTTTTAAAGTGAACTGAAATATCTTTCTTAAATCCATATCTCAACAAACTCATTTATTTCTAAGGCTTCTTTGATGTATTCAGAAAACCCTTCAAACTTTAACTCTGAGTTACCATTTTGGAAGAAAAAAAAATTGAAAGGACTTGTCAGAGCACACGGTAATTGGATGAACATCAGGGTGAAAAGTCAATGTCAGTCAGTTATATTAAGCCCTTTGGATTCAGATGAAAACATTAACGAAAATATAAAATTTGGATTAAAAGCCCCCCCCCCTTTTAAATTCAGATTCAGATTTAAAATAATTCCCTACCAAAATTATCAAAGTTCAAATGTCAAAAATGTCTCATTGGAAGTGAATTGAGAACTAATATCAACACCAATAATACAATACGTATTCTAAGTTTAATGACTGAGAGTAAAGAGTATTTGTTACCTTCATTTCATTCAATGTTTGATTATGTTTATTTTCTAATTTCTAATTATATTTTTCTGATTTACTATTTCTCATTATATTACAATTTGCGTATTTATAAATTACTTATTATACACCTACTTTAACAGAAAATGTTTACAGCACCTGCACTATTTATTTTCATTTATTTAGGTACAGCAGCAGAAGTGGTACTTGCGGACACATTTACTAAGGGCTCAGAATGAGCTTTGCAATTCACCTGAATCAGTCTCACTCTTGTCAAAATCTCGACACTGATTTTTAAATTATTATGGAACTTTCTTTTCACTATGAATACGATAAAGTAAAAGTCAATTTTTATGAGAAAAAAAAAATAAAGAAAGAAAACACTATTTTTGCACACAAAATGAACAGCTCCACTCGGGAGAAAACCATTCTCTGCATAATGAAAGGGAAAAAATATTATCTGATTTAAATTGCTAAGTGTTTGGCCAACAAGAAATCACATAACATTGCAGACCATTCACAATTGATTCTCACTGGAAACAATGTGGGATAGAGGCACAAGCTTTGTAGTGTAGCTAGAGATTGAATCATCTACATATATATATATAAACCAGTCTTGTTAGTTACAGCATTTATAACTCAAGAATGGCAAGGTCAATTTCAATTATGACTAAGTTTTTGGATTCAATGTCCCGAATGGCATTGAATCTGCCCTGAATGGCAAAATACCTATTAAAATATCACCCCAAAAAATGTACTAGATAGCGCTGTAGAACAAAACTAAATATTCATGTCAAATGCAACCAGTAATATACTCGGTAGGAATTTTTTATTCTATATCTTAAAATAACTTCTAAACAAAGCACTGTAGGACATTAGAAACTAAAATTTTGAGGCAACAGGCCATAATATACAGGATAAGATCTTGAATATTCTATTACATTTTTACTGAGGGGAGGGGGAGACAAAGAGAGGAAGGGGCATGAAGGGCAGAACATCTGCCGGGGTTCGCTAGTTGGCAATACAAGAGGCTCTTCTTTATAACCAGTTGCCACTTCAACGACAATGTATTCTACCAACTAACCAGATGAAAACAAAAGCCAAGGCCAGTCAAAGTCTCAAGATCCAAGAAGG